AACAAAATCATAAATAATAATGTACCATTTCTAGAATAATAAAAAATTAACAAGTATTGGGTAATATCTAATAAGGAAATATTAACTCTCCTTTATAACCATTGTATTTAATGATGCCACAGCGAGACCTTAACGCCACCTGATGACAGAGTGACCAACTACCCAAAGAAAACTATTATAAATTGAGGACAAACTATACCATTTTTTACGCATCACTGAAAAGGTACTCATGAATATTATAGAAAAAATACAATATAAAAATATTTCAATTGGACTAAATTAACTGTATAAACTATTACTAAAGAAGATATTGATAGGTGCTTTATGAAATTTGCAATATCAATAGCGAATGGGCATTAAACTGAAATATTTAATGACATATTTTATTCACTGATGCTAAAAAAATGCAATACCATCAAAAACAAAAATAAATCAAATTAAATTAAAAGTATGTGTGGCAATTAATTTTCATATAAATACTTGGGGAAAACGGAGACAATAAATAAATAAATAAATGCACAAATTAATGTTTTCCCGCCTTAAGTCATCGTCCATCGAGGCGGAGAATACGGGAAATATTTATTCACATATTCAGTAAAGGAGTCTTGAGTGTGACTATTATTTCAATTTACATTTTTATATATTTAGTGTATAGTTATTAATGTTGACGTCCACCTCGAAAAATAAAAGCGAAATTATTATTCTAGAGATTCAAATATGTGAACAAATAAGACGACAGGTGGTAGGAAGTTTTCTCAGGTTGCCTCCCACATAGTTAATAAACATGCTTAAATAATTGTAAGCAAGAATGATAATTTAACTGAATAAACAAAATCATAATCATCATCATCATCATCATCATCATCATCATCATCATCATCATCCTCTACAGTAGGAGCGTAAACTTCTTCATCTGTTTAGTAACAATATGTCACCGAGTTGAACGCCACCATAAGGACAGCGAAAACTAAAACACTTACCAGGTATCACCATTAGTCGCAATTGCCCTCACGCTGTTAGTAGGGAGTTACTCTTCTTAATACTATTACTTGACCCACCTGTGACGTATAAGATTAACAATGCCCAAACACAACCTCGGACAGCACCAGTAAACCATTTATTTATTTATCTACAGTACGTATATTGAAACCAGACGAAGCGAATCTAAACCATCCTAACCTAACCTAACCTAATAACGCTAGGATATTTTTTAATAAATTTAGATTAGATTTGGTTAGTTTAATGTCATCTAGAAAATTGTATGGCTCGTATGTCCTGTTCGTGGTAATATTTATAACATGAATATGGCAGATGGGGACATGGAGTGAAGGATTGGAAGGTAGTGGTGTGTGGGCTCTCGTAATTCATCCGTTTATCAAGTGGTTATTTCAGTGCTGCTACGTTACGTTACTCCGGAAGATGGGCAGAGATCAGGTATTCAATTTTACTGATATATAGAGCGAAAGGAACACTGATGCTGTGATAAAAGACTGATAAACCTGACTAAAAGAAAATTTAAAATGGCGACGATGTCAAACTGTGTTGAAAATTAAATAAACAATTGCGACGGTGCCAAATCACCATAGAATTTAAAGTTACCGAGTGAATTAAAGTACTTTGTGTTGAGTATTTATGAAATTATTCAGTATTTAGTGAAATGTGAGAAATAGATATATAAATATAGAACTGGGAAATATATTGATAGATTAACATAAAAGTTTATTCAGTAAAATCGTCACGTATGATCAAATTTGTTCAGCATATATACACATAGACAGTATAGTGCGTTGTGTGTTTTGACAAATTGACTTTGAACATAAAACTACATTATTGAAAGTCTAAATAATGACGCGTTTATTGATACTTAAAGAAAATTACTTTACAATAGGCGCTTATGATACCTGAGTGTTGAAAAGGAATTTGAGTGAATTATGATACAAGTTAGTGTGAACAACAGAGCGTCACTACAAGACTCTGCTCTCGGTAAGTACAGCCAATATTTACTCATTTCTGGCCTCAGGAACTCATTTAGGACGCCAAAATAAACCCAGAATTTATACCTTCACTTCCATTGTGTTATAGAATTGCACTTAGTGGAGCCTTTGTCCATAATAAACATAATTAAAACTAATAAATTGGCCTTTACGTCAGAGTACTCATAGTGTATCAAAGAAAACGTCGCGCTGCCCAGGGTAAACTCACATATATTGAAGCGGATAATAATAATAATAATGTAATAATAATAATAACAATAACGATAATAACAATATTAATAATAACGATAATAATAATAATAATAATAATAATAATAATAATAATAATAATAATAATAACTATAATAACAATAATAATGATAATAATAATACTTCCCATCGTTTTTTGCCACATTAATCAGATGATAGATTATTATTCCAACAAATCTGCCTCACTTTGGTTCCAAATGATGACACACAGACGCAGAAAAATAGAATTCCAAGGACTCGTGTTGAATATAATGTAAATTCCGTTAGAGCCACAAGCCTGCCTGATATAATGCAGCCATTTGTCTGTCGGATTAAGATCTGAGTACACCCGCCTCGTGCTTCTTATTTACCAGATATAAGTAACAGTAACACGTAACACAAAAATATACAGCGATACAGGGATAGATAGATAGATATTCTGTAAAAAAGTCTTAGAATTGTATATTGTTTTAATATATACGTAGACAGTGTAGGTATACAAAAAATGTGTATATCTATAATAATATAAACTTTAGAATAATATACTTTACACTACATAGCGAAGACATATACTCAAACTAACCTCACCCCACCTAACCATTTACAACTGGGGGTCAAAGGTCAAGAACCAATGAGGAGCAGGTCAAGACAGGTCACACATTAAAAACCTACTCCAACGTGACTATTTAAGAGGAGTGTGTTGGTTGGTGCTCAGGTGGTCAGGCAGCCTTAATAATGCCTCTGTGAATGGCCTAATTAAGCACCACAATAGAATGGAGGTCTTAGGTAATGAGTTGGTCGTGTTGGTAATTAGATGCCAACGTTGTCTGACTGTCTCTACTAATCCAATTTCGTTTTTTTTTTCTCTGTTATAACCTTCTCCTTGCCTTTCCTGCTGAGGGGGGATATAGAGATAGCTGATGCCTGTCTGGGTGGGTGGGGGTAGGAGATCTCTTAAGTGTTGAAATAAATTGTTCTATCGTTAGCCAATTGTGAAAAAGTTTGACGTCTTGTAGTGAGAGAATTCAACGTAGAAAAATTCGAACACCTCACCTCACCTAACCTAACCTAACCTCACCTCACCTCACCTCACCTCACCTAACCTAACCTAACCTCACCTCACCTAACCTAACCTAACCTCACCTCACCTCACCTCACCTCACCTCACCTCACCTAACCTCTGCTACATTATGTTTGCTAAATATTATCACTTGTGCTAAGTTTAACCTCACTTAACCTTGATATTAAGTTAAATATGAATTATAAATTTAACGAAGGTATAAACAGCTTAAGTGAAGGTTAAAGAATGTGTATTTAAAATGACTCGAGTGCTGGAGGGTGAGGTGGAGTACTGGAGGGTGAGGTGGAGTACTGGAGAGTGAGGTGGAGTACTGGAGGGTGAGGTGGAGTACTGGAGGGTGAGGTGGAGTACTGGAGGGTGAGGTGGGTACTCGTGGGTGAGGTGGTACTGTGGGTGAGGTGGAGTATTGGAGAGTGAGGTGGAGTAATTGAGGTGAGGTGGAGCAATTGGAGGGTGAGGTGGAGTATTGAGGGTGGGGAGGTGGAGCACTGGAGGGTGAGGTGGAGCACTGGAGGGTGAGGTGGAGCATTGGAGGGTGAGGTGGAGCATTGGAGGGTGAGGTGGAGCAGTGGAGGGTGAGGTGGAGCATTAGAGGGTGAGGTGGAGCATTGGAGGGTGAGAGGGAGTACTGGAGGGTGAGGTGGATTACTGGAGGGTGAGGTGGAGTACTGGAGGGTGAGGTGGAGTAGTGTGAAGGAAGAAGGTGAAGAATTGTATCGTATATTTACACCTTGTCTCTGATACCTGGATGACGTCAATGTTTACTTATTAAGGCTGTGAAGAATAATTCCCTCAGTCAGTTAGTCAATCAGTCAGTCAACCAATTAGTCAGTCAGTCGGTCTTCAAATGTGGTCATAGAGCTTATTGGCGCACCTCAATAGCCCTCGGAGTTAAAGTTTTCTCAAAGTATCGCTGCCAGAATAGACTTAACATTACTTGAGATATCATTTGCAACTTAAGTTTATCCTTATTTAAGTGAGAATAGAAACCAATCAGGAACTTCCCGAGTCATTATTATGAGATGAGGACCACTAGAGGGAGGTCGTGTGTGTGTGTGTGTGTGTGTGTGTGTGTGTGTTCTGCATAGCAACTTGGCCAGCATGTAGTTAAGTCATCTCGTGTTGGTGGTCCCATACCATACACAAAATACTAGTTTATATCCGTATGTAGTATAATACTCCTTCATACACACTCATTCACTGTGGCGTTTATACAACAAAATACACCCTCATACACCACCATCTTCATAATAAATAATGCTTGCGCCTCGTGTAACGAGGATGGCCGGCCCAAGGGCCACTTAGGCGTGAATTTGTTTAAGGTGTAGAAGCTGTCGCCAACACAACAACCACGCTCTGAGTTAACGAGTTGCCTGGCCCAATGTTAAGGAATATTCTGAGAAGACCGGACAACTCGCCAACTGCACGGGTTAACCATTACCCCGGAATACGATCCGCAAATCGATTAACATCCAGGTTCCCAATTACTGCTGGGTAGACAGAGGCAAATGGCGCAAAGAAACTTGCCCGTAGTTTCACCCTGCCCGGGGATCGAACCCCGGTCCGCTCTCTTGCGAGGCGACCATACTGACCATTACACCACATACACGCTCATACATTCGCCATACACACTTATACACCCCAACACACTCTCACACACCCCTCACACACCCCTCATACACCCAGGATGTACTCACCCTTGTCGTAAACGTTAGTTGGTACATGGACGGAGGAGAAGTTCTCATTGACAGGGATGCCATCGAAGTGTGTGTTCTCCAGCAGGGTGAGTTTCTTGTACCCATCCAACAGCTCTCCCTTCCTGGCGCTGTCTGCTGGGTAGAATTTGTTGAGTCTCTTGGCGTTGTAATACTCCACCTCTTCCTCCTGTTGGTATTCCTTGTCCAGTGATGCTTCCTCAGCCACGTTCATGATGCGCTGTGGTGGAGAGAAGCGAGGGTGAGTGAGGGAGAGAGGGAGTGAGTGAGTGAGGGAGGGAAGAGGGAGTGTGAGTGAGCGAGGGAAGGGGGAGTGTGAGGGAGTGAGGATATGAGTGTGTGATAGAGAGAGAAGAATGAGCGAGTGAGAGTCTTGAATTTTGGGGGGCCGAAAAATTAATGTTGCTCAAAATCTCATTAATTGTCCTAATAGTCCTGAGGGGTTGAAATTTTTATAATTAATTGTTCTAATTACTATGAGGAGGAGACTTAATTATCTGAGTTTCATCTTTTTGGCCACGTAGCCTTAATTTGTGAATCGATTACTACCTAAACGAAGATTCTGAGCAAACTTAACTTTTCGGTCCCATAAATAACTACAATAGGAATTATAAAGATGATTTAAAACTTTCGGGCGCAAATTAATTAGCCTTTTCAATGTCTTAATTTTTTCTATGTATATTAATTAACACTACTCGAATTATGTTATTTTTAACCCATATCTTCAACCAGCATGAATAGAAAACGAACATTATCATATCAAACTGGCAGTAATATTCTACAAGGTGCTGAAAAAATGCCCCGCATAGCCTCGTGTATATTAGTAGAGGTCGTACTAAATAAGCTTCAAATATCGGTTCTGTTTCTTTCATAGGTCGTACAAAATGGAGCCTTATGCATCATCTACCAGAATTGTAAACATGAGGAAAGAACTCAGGCTGTCATCTCTACGTAATACCATGTTTTGTGTCTAACTTTTGAAGCATAATGGTCCCCAAACTACAGCTCAATCCTGACTATCTCACTAACTTTTCACAAATGATTCTCTATGGGCCGTAGCTTCGTAAGAGTGTCACCGATCTCTTGAAGTTGAACGTGGTCAGTCACTCCAGATGAACCCTTTAATGCCATTCCTCCTTGACTAGAGGAACACTCACCCACAAAAGTCCTGTCGCCTCTCCTCCTGAAACCACGAACCCCCGAGAGATTTAGATTCATGAACCCGAAGCAGTAGACTGAGGCATTATTCTGTCCATAAATGCTTCGGGTTCACAAGTCTGAATCTCTCTGGGGTTCGTTGTTCAAGAAGAGAAAAGGCGACAGGACTTTTGTGGATGACTGTACCAGGTCTTATGAATTACACACACACACTTGTTCCTGCGTTCGTGTGTGCGTGTGCATTTGTACATGGGTGCTTGCATGTGAGTGTGCTTACTTGTGCATGTGTATGTGTGTGTACAAATAACTAAATTCACACCAAGAAAAATAAATCTCTCTCACTCTCGACCCCCGCAAGACAACTTTTCATTCATAACTCTCACCGTGCAGCCACACTACCCCACTACTGGCGGGCCTCTCATTCATCAGCCATCAAGACCATTCCCAGCGAGCTTCCAGAGTAAAGTTAGAACACTCAGGTGGGCGGCGCTACAGCCTTGCCTCTCCCACGTGTTGCCTATAAATAGTGGTGTTGAGAGGGATTTACACCCAAGCGGCTTATTCACTTGCAGACACAAACCATTATTGATGTACACTACACCTTTGTTTTATGTCAATTAGTGGGTGTTGTTGGTGTTGTGGGCTGGTGATTGGCTGTGATGGTAGTTGTTGTTAGTGATTGCGGTTGTTGGTGGATGTTTGGCTGTAGGTGTGTTGTTGTTGTAGTGATTGTGGTGGGTGGTGGTGTTTGAGCACAAAGACAGACCTACAAACAGACATAAACAGACAGACCTACAACAGACAGACCAACAAACAGACAGACCTACAGACAGACAGACCTACAAACAGACAGACCTACAGACAGACAGACCTACAGACAGACAGACCTACAGACAGACAGACCTACAAACAGACAGACCAACAACAGACAGACCTACAAACAGACAGACCTACAAACAGACAGACCTACAAACAGACAGACCAACAAACAGACAGACCTACAGACAGACAGACCTACAAACAGACAGACCTACAGATGGACAGACCCAACAGACAGACCTACAGACAGACAGACCTACAGACAGACAGACCTACAGACAGACAGACCTACAGACAGACAGACCTACAGACAGACAGACCTACAAACAGACAGACCTACAAACAGACAGACCAACAAACAGACAGACCTACAAACAGACAGACGCATAAACAGACAGACCAACAAACAGACAGACCTACAAACAGACAGACCAACAAACAGACAGACCTACAAACAGACAGACCTACAAAAACAGACAGACCTACAAACGGACAGACCTACAAACAGACAGACCTACAAACAGACAGACCAACAAACAGACAGACCAACAAACAGACAGACCTACAAACAGACAGACCTACAGACAGACAGACTCTAAAACAGACAGACCTACAAACAGACAGACCAACAAACAGACAGACCAAAACAGACAGACCACAAACAGACAGCCTACAGACAGACAGACTTTCAAACAGACAGACCAACAACGAGACCTACAGACAGACAGACCTACAGACAGACAGACCAACAAACAGACAGACCAACAAACAGACAGACCTACAGACAGAGGGCCAACAAACAGACAGACCACAGACAGACAGACCTTCAAACGAACCAAACAGCCCAAACGACGACCACAAACAGACAGACCTACAGACAGACAGACCTTCAAACGAGACACACGAAAAACGCAGAGCACAAACAGACAGACACAAACAGACAGACCTACAAACAGACAGACCAACAAACAGACAGACCAACAAACAGACAGACCTACAAACAGACAGACCTACAAACAGACAGACCTACAAACAGACAGACCTACAAACAGACAGACCTACAAACAGACAGACCTACAAACAGACAGACAGACCTACAAACAGACAGACCTACAAACAGACAGTCCTACAAACAGACAGACACAGACAGACAGACCTACAACAGACAGTCCTACAAACAGACAGACCAACAAACAGACAGACCTACAAACAGACAGACCTACAAACAGACAGACCGACAGACCTACAAACAGATACAGAGGTGAGACCAAAAAAAGGTCACCCTCCCGAGGAATCTTTCCATCAGTCAAGACCACAAACTTAGGAATTCCTGAAATAGTTATGGGACTGTTTATCCCCAAGACTTATAGTGCCAGTATAGTGCCTCGATGGTGTCAGTATAGTGCCTCGATGGTGCCAGTATAGTGCCTCGATGGTGTCAGTATAGTGCCTCGATGGTGCCAGTATAGTGCCTCGATGGTAATAGTATACCCTCGATGGTGCCAGTATAGTACCTCGATGGTGCTGTATAGTGCCTCGATAGTGCCAGTATAGTGCCTCGATGGTGTCAGTATAGTGCCTCGATGGTGCCAGTATAGTGCCTCGTTGGTGTCAGTATAGTACCTCGATGGTGTCAGTATAGTGTCTCGATGGTGTCGGTATAGTGCCTCGATGGTGCCAGTATAGTACCTTGATGGTGTCAGTATAGTGCCCTGATGGTGTCAGTATAGTGCCTCGATGGTGTCAGTATAGTGCCTCGTTGGTGTCAGTATAGTGCCTCGTTGGTGTCGGGTATAAAGCCTCGATGGTGTCGGTATAGTGCCCGTTGGTGTCAGTATAGTTCCTCGATGGTGTCAGTATAGTGCCTCGTTGGTGTCTATAGTGCCTCGATGGTGTCAGTAGTGCCCTCGTTGTTAGTATAGTTCCTCGATGGTGTCAGTATAGTGCCTCGTTGGTGTCTATAGTGCCTCGATGGTGTCAGTATAGTGCCTAGTTGGGTCTATAGTGCCTCGATGGTGTCAGTATAGTGCCTCGTTGGTGTCAGTATAGTGCCTCGATGGTGTCAGTATAGTGCCTCGTTGGTGTCAGTATAGCGTCCGATGGTGTCAGTATAGTGCCCGTTGGTGTCAGTATAGTGCCTCGATGGTGTCAGTATAGTTCCTCGATGGTGTCAGTATAGTGCCCTGTTGGTGTCTATAAAATTCGATGGTGCTAGTAGAGTGCCTCGTTGGTGTCAGTATAGTGCCTCGTTGGTGTCAGTATAGTGCCTCGATGGTGTCAGTATAGTTCCTCGATGGTGTCAGTATAGTGCCTCGTTGGTGTCAGTATAGTGCCCGTTGGTGTCAGTATAGTGCCTCGATGGTGTCGGGCATAGTGCCTCGTTGGTGTCAGTATAGTGCCTCGTTGAGTCAGTATAGTGCCTCGTTGGTGTCAGTATAGTGCCTCGTTGGTGTCAGTATAGTGCCTGATAGTGTCAGTATAGTGCCTCGATGGTGTCAGTATAGTGCCTCGATGGTGTCAGTATGTGCCTCGATGGTGTCGGTATAGTGCCTCGTTGGTGTCAGTATAGTGCCTCGTTGGTGTCAGTATAGTGCCTCGATAGTGTCAGTATAGTGCCCCCGATGGTTGTCAGTATAGTGCCTCGATGGCCAATATAGTGCCTCGTTGGTGTCAGTATAGTGCCTCGCTGGTGTCAGTATAGTGCCTCGTTGCTGTCAGTATAGTGCCCTCGTTTGTGTCAGTATAGTGCCTCGGTGCCAGTATAGTGCCTCGATGGTGTCAGTATAGTGCCTCGATGGTGTCAGTATAGTGCCTCGATGGTGTCAGTATAGTGCCTCGATGGTGTCAGTATAGTGCCTCGATGGTGTCAGTATAGTGCCTCGTTGGTGTCAGTATAGTACGTCGATGGTGTTAGTATTGTACCTCGATGGTGTCAGTATAGTGCCTCGATGGTGTCAGTATAGTGCCTCGATGGTGTCAGTATAGTGCCTCCGATGGTGCTAGTAGAGTATAGTGCATTAAAATTCCTGTCTGAAGAGAGAGAGAGAGAGAGAGAGAGAGAGAGAGAGAGAGAGAGAGAGGTAAGATGGACAAAGAGAGAGAAAGAGAGAAATGGTGGATGAGGGGAGACGGAAAGTGGAAAAGAAAGGAAGACTAGAGAGAATGAAAGAGAGAGACAGACAGTTAGAGAGAAGGAAGGAAGACGTGAGCGAGCTATCAGCGTCAACGAGGTCGTTTAGATAACAGCGTAGTTCCTTCTGATACTAACAAGACCTCCCCCTTCCCCTCCCACCCTCCCCCCTCCCCACCCTCCCCCTCCCCACCCTCCCCTTCTCCCCTCCCCACTCTTCTCCCTACCCACCCTTCCCTTCTCCCTCCCCACCCTCCCCTCTCCACCCCTTCTCCTTCCCCACCCTTTCCTTCTCCCTACCCACCCTTCTCCCGCTCTCCCTCCCCACCTCCTCCTCTCCTCTCTTCTCCCCTCCCCTCCCTCCCTCTCCCCTCCCATTCTCCCCTCCTATCCTCCTCTATCCCTCTCCCACCCCTCCTCCCTCTCCAACACCCGTCCCTTACCTCCCCCTACTCCTTCTCCTCTACCCCTCAAAAAATAGGTAGAAATAGGCACGGTTGGTCACAATATCCCATGAGGTAAGAGAATGAGGAAATTGGGTAGAGTCGACGCCCCAGTTTTATGAGCGCATGATTCTCACCCAAATTGACATCCGAGCGACACTATTTTCCTGCCAATTATTTCAGCCCCCCCCCCCCACACCATTTTCGGGATGGAAGCTAGGGGAATTTTTTTGAAGGGGGGGGGGCAGGGGAGGTTTTTAGGGGGATAGGGATAATTCTGGGATTCTTTATTATTTAGGGATTTTTTTTTCCTCGTGGATTTAGGGATAATTAGATGGACTGTTTTAAGAGGAAATGAAAATCTGGGGAATATTTCGTAAATTTGGGGATATTTTAATGGATTCAGTTATTGTACTCAAGGTTCTATGTCATCGTAGTTTCAATAGAACTAAGGTATCGTACTCAAGGGATTCAGGTATTGTAGTTGATTTGGTTAAGGTATCGTACTCAAGGGGTTTAGGTATTGTAGTTGATTTGGTTAAGTTATCGTACTCAAGGGATTTTAGATATTGTACTTGGTGGGACGTCATCGTACTCAAGGAATTAAGTTGTTTTAGATACTGGATGAAGAATTTATTTATTACAACGACAGAAATACTAACGATACACAAAGCCTGTAACGGGGGGTTGAAATTGAACGTTATTGTACCTCTTCATCCTTCATCTTATTTTGGTATCTGAGTTTATATCGTCTCTAGAAACAGAAAGTTGTCGTATCTGTTTATAATCATTATACCGTACTAGGTCCCGAGTCTCAGTGCTTCTTAAGGATAAAATATCATTTCCAAGTTAAGAAATAAAAAACAAAAATGAATTAACTGTCTTTTTTGGCCATACTGTCGACTTAGTTTAATTATTCCTTTCCATCTGTTACGTGAATCATCGACTTTAGTATAATTAACCGTATGTGCAAACCGTTGAGAATCTCTTGTTATTATTCTATAAGTCGTTTCCTATGAGAGACTTTTATACGATACGGAGAATACACAAACCCTTTAGTCCCTCAAAAAAAAAAAAATAAATAATAATCGTACGTTGACAACGGGACTAAAACTTGGCTGCCATCATTTTGGGTAGAAGTTGTTGTACCGCGTGAGTGTCCCTGAGAGATAGGATATAAGAGAACCTCGTATACAACGTTACCTTCACCGCCTCCACCTTAAACTTCATCATGTTGGTGACGTCTCCCGCCATCTCCTTCACGAGCTGTAGGCCATCGTTCTCCAAAATTTTAGCGTGGTTCTCGGCGAAATTCTGGAAAAAGAAGAAAACGGAAGTGAGAATTGGTACTATAGAAAACGGCATATTATATAGGGTAAACGGGAATAAATTTGAAAGACAGCGGAGTATTGTACAGAGTAGATGGGGAAATGTGTAGAAGGTAGGTTTGGTATGCTGTTAATGGGGTAATTTAAAGATAAATGGAGTGAGGTACAGTCCCCTTCACTAGTGCGTTTAATATTGTTTTACTTTGATTCTATAATATTCTTACTATTGTGAGTTTCCTTCTGTTGAACGTAAACAAACACAACGCTGCCACACTGTACAAAACCTGACGAGCCCCTGTAAACGCACTAGTGAAGGGGACTGTACATTAGTAGATGAAAAATGTATAGAAAATGGAGTCTGGTAATCTTGCAGAGCCTAAGAAAACATTAACTATTATCTTCTTTTTTTTCCATTTTTTTTCAGTCTTTCCGAATGACGAATAACAAAATTGATGAAAACCTTAGGACTGATTCCATCCACAAAATCAGATTTAAAAAAATGGAGAAAAAACAGTTTGAGAGATTTTAACCCAACAGATAAATCACAACATATATTTTAAGTTGACATATTTAAGTAGATAAGTGAACTCTCTCTCTCTCTCTCTCTCTCTCTCTCTCTCTCTCTCTCTCTCTAACTTTACATATCCAAAGAGTCACTTTTAAATTAAGTTTATATCAAGTTTATATTAGAGTTGGTGAGGCGAAGTGAACCTGTTATGAGCTTGTATGAAAATCGTGACTGGTGAACGATCCCAGCTCAAGTCAGGTCAGGGAAGTGAAGGTCAGGTCAGGGAAATAAAGGTTAGATCAGGGAAGTGAAGGTCAGATCAGGTCAGTGAAGGTCAGGTTATGGGAAATGAAGGTCAGGGAAGTGGAGGTCAGGTCATGGAAGTGAAGGTCAGGGAAGTGAAGGTCATGTCAGGAAAGTGAAAGTCAGGTCAGGGAAATGAAGGTCAGGTCAGGGAAGTAGAGGTCAGGTCATGGAAGTGAAGGTCAGGGAAGTGAAGGTCATGTCAGGAAGTGAAAGTCAGGTCAGGGAAATGAAGGTCAGGTCAGGGAAGTGAAAGGTCAGGTCAGAAGTGAAGGTCAGGTCATGGAAGTGAAAAGTCAGGAAGAGAAAATGAAGGTAAGGTCAGGGAAATGAAGGTCAGGTCAGGAAAGTGAAGGTCAGGTCATGAAAGTGAAGGTCAGGTCAATGAAGTAAAGGTTAGGTCAGTGAAGTAAAGTTCAAGTCAGTGAAGTGAAGGTCAGGTCAGGGAAATGAAGGTGAGGTCAGGAAAAGTCAGGTCAGGAAAGTGAAGGTCAGGTCTGGGAAGTGAAGGTCAGGTCAGTGAGGTAAAGGTCAGGTCAGGGTAGTAAAGGTCAGGTCAGTGAAGCAAAGGTTAGGTCTGAAGTAAAGGTCAGGTCAGTGAAGCAAAGGTCAGGTCATGTTAGGTCAGGTATTGGGAGACTGTGATTTTATATACATACATGTACACATATACACATACATACAAGTATACAGAAGTTAATGATTATGTATGTATCTATGTACAGTATGTGGCGACCTGTGGTGTAATGGTCAGCATGCTCGCCTCGCAAGCGAGCGGACCCGGGCTCGATCCCCGGACAGGGTGAAACTATGGGCGAGTTTCTTTACGCCATTTGCCTCTGTCTACCCAGCAGTAATTGGGAACCTGACTGTTAATCGATTTACGGATCGTATTCCGGGGTAATGGTTAGCCAGTGCAGTTGGCGAGTTGTCCGGTCTTCTCGGACTATTCCTTGTCACTGGGTCATGCAGCTCGTTAACTCAGGGTGTGGTTGTTGTGTTGGCGACAGCTTCTACACCTTAAACACTGGCCAGTAGCCTGTTAACTCAGGGTGGTTGTTGTGTTGGCGACAGCTTCTACACCTTAAACACTGGGTCACGCAGCTCGTTAACTCAGGGTGGTTGTTGTGTTGGCGACAGCTTTACACCCAACACTGGGTCATGCAGCTCGTTAACTCAGGGTGTGGTTGTTGTGTTGGCGACAGCTTCTACACCTTAAACACTGGGTCATGCAGCTCGTTAACTCAGGTGTGGTTACAGTTGGCGACAGCTTCTACATCTTAAACACTGGGTCATGCAGGCCGTTAACTCAGGGTGTGGCGCTAAAGGGCGACAGCTTCTACACCTTAAACAATTTCACGCCTAGGTGGCCCTCGGGCCGGCCATCCTCGAACACGGGGGCCAACCATTATTCAGTATTATGTGTATGTATGTGAATAAATCTTCCAAATTTCTCCACAAAGGGAAGGCTTATACAACACTATAACAACACTCACTTTGATGTAGATAATTTATGTGAATATTATGGAACCCAAAACCTTATTTCTTAACAGGTCAAGTCCCGAGTGTTTCCTTATGAGAAAATGAATGGTGAGAGGTCACAGCAGGGTCATGGGATAGGTCATTAGAAGGTCATATGCGTTTATATATATATATATATATATATATATATATATATATATATATATATATATATATCACCTGAAGAATCGTCACCCCAGCCCACAGTGAATATATTCCTTTGTGTTATGCATCTTTATTCTGAAAAGTTTAAAGAAAAAAAAGAATAATATACACCTAACCTAACCTAACCTCACCATGGAGGGTCCTGACCCCACCTGAAGAATTGTCACCCTGCCAAACTGTGGGGTGACAATTCTTCAGGTGATCCATACACACACACACACACACACACACACACACACACACACACACACACTTACTTCCCCACAGGCTTTTGGGGGTGTGGGGAGGGGGGGGTTAAGGGCATGAGAGTGGAGATTAATTATTTTAAACACTGCTAATAAAGTCTGGCGAAAGTTTTCCAGCGCTGGCGAACTATGCAAGATATAGAGGGAGAGTATGTGTGACACTTTACCAGGCAGCTGAGACTTAAATTATTGTAAAAATATTCACCTGGAAATTCGTAAAATATTCGCCAAGAAAATCGTAAAAATATTCGCCTTAAAATTCGTAAAAAAATATTCGCCAAGAAAATCGTAAAAATATTCGCCTGGAAAATCGTAAAGAAATATTCACCAATAAAATCGTAAAACATTCGCCAAGAAAATCGTAAAATATTCGCCAAGAAAACCGCAAAAAGCCTTATTCCCTAAAAAGTCGTAATTTATTCCCTGAAATATATTATAATATTTGGTAATTTGCTGAAAAAATCGTAGATGTATTCTCGGATAAATCATAAAATTGTATCCACATCATACAACATCAGACCTACTATCATACACAATCATACTCACATCATCACTCATAATCATACTGACTGACATCATCATGTATCATCATGCTCATACTTTTCATTGACTATCCATACACTAACATACATACACTATCATACATACACTAACATACACACCCTAACGTACATACACTATCATACATACACTATCATACACCCTATCATGCATACACTATCATACATGCACTATCATACACCCTATCATACAGTACATACACTATCATACATACATGTACACTATCATACACCCTATCATACATACACTATCATACACCCTATCATACATACACCATCATACATACACTATCATCATACACAATCATACACCTCACACTCGCAGGAATCATACACC